TAGATTGCAGAAATTATTTGCAAGCTTTTAAACTCCACCTTCTTTATTGCTGCTGCTTATTACACTTTCTGGAATCAGAAAGTGAAACTTCCCCAGCTTTAGAAAGTTCCTACTTGCCAGATAACAAATCTGTTAACATCTTGGTGTCAGGCGGGTGTTTCTGTGTACAGCTGTATCTGAAACCACATTTTGAAGATGGCTTCTAAGAAAACTGTGGCTGGATTTCAAACTTCATCCTTACTTCGTTCCATGGTTATCACCAATTGCTGGAGACAAATGCAAAGGTTATTGTAAAGTGTGCTACAAAAATCTTTGAAATAAATAATAGGGGAATTAGAGCTGTGGAGTCTCATCCACAAGGACCATTACTCCAGAAGAACTTGAAAACTAAATCAAGTAAACAGTCCATTGCAATATGTTTAGGTTCAAAGCCATGTACAAGTTCAAATGGCAAAGAATTACCCACCACATAAACTAGTATGGCTGCCTATGTAATCAAGGACTGTGTTAGGGCATGCATAGTGTCTGTGGCTTTGCAACTGGTGATGAAGAAGATGTCATTTAACTCTTGTAACAACATCAGTGAGTTATTCAATAGAATGTTCTCAGACAGCCAGATACTCAACAGTATCATCTTGGAAAAACAAAAGCAATTTTTGTTGTTACTTTCGGCTTGGCACCATATTTCTCTGATCTTTACTGGAACAGCTGAAATAATACCAAACATTTGTTATCTGTTTTGATGAAGCTTTGAATAAGGTGGTTCAAAAGGGACAGATGGATTTAGTGATTTGTTTTTGGGATGATTACTGTAATAAAATTTCCACACAGTATCTAGCCAGTGCTTTTCTTCCAACTGCTACTGCTGAAGACCTTCTTCAGAAGTTTCAAGAAGACACGTCTTTTTTATCAGTTGCAAAATACATTTATTGGAGGAGCCAAATGTAAATCACCTTTTTCTGATAAAACTAAAAGAAGAAATTAAAACCAACCATGACTGCAAAGGAGAAGGAAAAGAACTGATTGAATTTGGAACTTGTAGCCTTCATGGGTTTTTAAAAACAGAATTGCAAGCGGTGAAATGGGACCTGAATTCAGTCTTGCGCAACATGTAGTATCTGTTCAAAGATTTCCCTGCTAGGAGGGCATCATACACTGCTATGACTGGAAGCACACTATTTCCCCTGAAGTCCTGCTCCACTAGGTGGTTGGATAATGTTAAGTGTCTTGATAGAGCTATATATTTTTTGACAACAACAAGAAGTATGTAGAAGAAGCAAAACTCCCCCACAGTAAACCTGCAATTTGTATAAAAGCGGCAACGAAAGATCCACTCATGAAGTGCAAAATTTCATTTCATTTCTTGAAAATGATTGCTGAAGATTGTGAACCATTTCTACAAAGATTTCAAAACCAACAAACATTGGCACCTTTTTTTGTATGAAGAACTTTGTAAGCTAATCAAGAAGCTAAGGAGTTGTTGCTTAAAACTGGAAAAGCTGCAAAATGTGTCTTCTGGTTCCCAGTTGTTAACAATTGACATGAAATTGTCTGAGAACTTGCTTGACAGAAGCAAGCTTAACCTTGGCTTTGCAACAAAGAAGCTGTTGAAAGAAACTAAACTGAGGGAATGTCAAGTGGCTGAGTTTTGCCTAGAGCAGAGGTCGTCAACCCCCGGTCCGCGGCCTGGTGCTGGTCCGTGGCCTGAGCCGTGGCCATGTAGACAGACCTTCCCCACAGGCACTCCCCTCCCCACAGCTGCTTTGTGCATGTGAGTGCGTGCCAGTGTCAGCACTCCTGCACCCTTCACACATGCACCCGAGTGCCCGCGCAAAGGGGTGGGTGGACAGGCACTCGGATGCTTGTGCAGGCACCCCTGTACATGCATGAAGGGATGGGGGAGTGCTCACGCCGGCGTAGGTGGACAGGCGCTCCCCCACCACTTCATGCATGCATCCAAGAGCGCGTGTGCACCCACCCACACCTGCGGGGTTCACCCCACCTTTCTCGGAAGCTCAGGCCTAAAGTATCAAAACATGGTAATAGCTGTTGTTGAAAAGGTGATTGAAAGAAGTCCTTTGGAGTTCAAGATGGTGCGTGGCCTATCAGCATTAGATTCTTCTATCATGTTATACAAGCCAAATCCTGGAATCCCCAGAATAGGAGCTGTTCTTGAAGCTTGACGTGTAGCAAATCAGATCAATGACACAGTAGCGGAAAAATCAAAGCAACAGGACACTACTTTAACCACAGCTGCCCACAATGAATTCGAAGCTCAATTTCAAGCATATGTTGCAAAACAAAATGATGAGGTTGGACTGGATACATTTTACAGTGGTATTTTGATGTCCAACAAAAGTTTCTCAGACTTGTAGACTGTTGTCAAAATGTGCCTTATCCTGCCTCATGGTAATGCTTCTGCTGAAATTGAATTTTCAGTTAAGAAGTCAATGTTAGTTGAGAACTTGCATGAAGAACCTGTTGTCTGTCGATGTCAGATTTACGATGCAGTCTTTAATTGTGGAGGACTTGCATCTGTTGTAATTGATATTAATCTGTTGCATTCAGTCAGGCACGCTAATGCGTACTACAAAGAGCACTTGGAGGCTAAACGCCACTAGCAACAAGAAGAAATTTAGAAAAAAGAAGAAAAGAAGAAACTTGAGGAACATATTAAACATCTTGAAAATGCTAAAAAAAAAAGACAGAGAGAAGAAGCCAAAATGGAAGAGGAAACAACTGATGAAAAACTAAAAGAGTTACAAAATAAAAAGAG